ATGGGTATGCGAGTTTAAAACAAATTTTAATCCTTATTTCTACTCAAACCATTGAAATTAAGTTTTTTTTATGTCTTATTGTCAAATTTTACTCATTTAGTTTTTAATTGGATAGGCATATGATTGCAAATGTTTAGATTATAAGAAATGCATACTTGGAATTGCTTTTTATTGTTTTTGCTACAAAAAACATGAACATTTTAATTGTTACAGAAAGCTTTGTTTGGATTAGTGGAAACTAATCTTATAAATCGAATTTAGCAATCGCGTCTTGATGTTGATATCGTTAAGCAATATAGGTTCTATTATTACCATAAGTAGAAATTTAGGCTATTTAAAATTTTGAAGGGTTAAATTACCATCAATTTTAATTTTTTGTTGACACATGCCTTTAAAAAATTATGTAAGCTTGAAGTTAACGGGACAACTAGGTGGTGTCACTATCTAGGACAATGATTAGACGACTGTCATTTACCAAAAATGACATGTTCCACTTTATTATAAATGTATTGGTTCATATGGGTTGACTCCAGCTAACAATTCTATTTTGTTTTATTTGTCTCATGAATTGAAGCCAATGAGAAACTCTGATGTGAATTAGAGGGATAATTAACGTGGCAATGGTAACAATGTGAAGAAAGGCTGATATGTATGAATTGATCCCCTTCTATTTTTCTAGAAACTTTTTATTTGATGCATGTTATAGATTCAGGAGAGAATTGAATTATTGAAGATGACGATGAATAAGAAGAAGAAGGTGAATCGAATATATGTGATAAAACCTGAATGATGCCACCACAAAGCCAACCATAAGATAGGTAATGATATTGCTGATCTTGACCTGGTTCTGAACTTCTGATTATGCTTCTGCCATGGCAATGCGTTTCAAGCATTCATCCTAATTGCATAACACCATTGGATTATCTTGCACAAGGCTGGCCAGAGCAATTTTCATTCCAGATGTATGATTCAGTACATGATGAACCTTAAAAATGAATACAGAAAAGAATTTGTTTAATTTGTTTCTACAAGTAAGTGATTATAGTTGTTAGGGTTACTAAGAATCACAAAGTACCTTTATTGATTCTTTTATGTTTGAACTGAAATCTGACCAGATCTCTGCAACATTATCCTTAAGTCCCACTTTCCTGCATCCATGTATTAGAATTAGAAATACCAAAATAAGAAAGAGGAATCCATAGTCAACATAATTAAGAAATAACACAATATACCCTTTATCTACAAGCCGGTGTAACATTCCAGCTGTAACTCCCTTTGTTACAGAAAAAACAGGGAATAATGTATCGAGTTGAACATGAGAAGGATCATAATTTCCATGTACCCTAATAGCTATATCAATTAACACTTTCCCATCTTTAGAGGCACAAACCTAACAGAAAATAACTAACAATCGGAGTATCATTCAAATATTAATATTAACTAGGTTATAACCTGTGGAAACCAGGTTGATAAATTAAAAAATAAGATAGATATAAATATGGTAATTATATTTCACTAATGAAAAAAGTCAATTTAATTAAACATCAATTTTGTTAAAGTAAATATATATACTTTTTTTTAAATATATGTTTAAAATACACTTTTAACTTAATTCTCCAACACCACTCATGGGTTCAAAAGGACGGTTATTGTCATATACTTATATCAACCAAAAAACCTCTCATCTGATGATTTTTAGGATTTTTCCAATCAATTTGTTACTTTCAAGAGGAATTGAATAAATAACCACTCTAACAATGCAACACATAAGTCCAAGCATATCATCATTTCACTATATGGGGAAAAAACAAAGTGATTACCAACAAAAGAAAAAAAAACACCATGTATTGGATTCATTATATATATATTTCTTTTGTTTTGCAACATATACTAAATTCAAAAAAATGTTCATCCCTTTGAGTAAGAGGGATCTACATGTGAAAATATTAATTGATCTAACTAAAACAAAGTTTAAGAAAATGATGGCCATAAATAGCAGTGATGAATGATAATAAACAGTGTAACTGTTGGCTCTCTATTGTTTAGGAGGCCATTAATGAGTTGTTAATCGAAGCTTATTAGCACTAATGAGTTGATAAAACCCATTTTCTAGGACAATATCGTCATACTTACATGGATTAGCTTTAAATATGTATCAATGAAAATAAAATTATATACAATCCAAGAGAATCTCCCCTCACTCTTCAATATTGCCTGCACAAGCTACATTTGAACACCTATGGAAGTAAATTATGACAGAGAGAGGTATATGACATAACTCAAAACTAATAAAACAAAAGATACAAAGTAAATTGAAAAGAAGACGTGTCAATGCCATGCATCAATTTTAACAGATTACAAACTAAAGTGGTTTCCTAATGTATCTTTTTTTACTCTGCCTTACAACCAAAACCAAAAACTATGAATTGATATTTTCATGGATATAGGCAAGAGATTATATAAAAAAGTAAGAAAGAAAAGGTTAAAACAAGTGATTGCTAGCTATTAGTTAATAGAGTTACCTTACTACTATAAAACCTGTAATATGACTCTCTTAAAAATTTATACAATTCTTTATATTTGTGGCCAGTTCAACATCCTCGTCCTTCTAAAAAGAAGTTCAACATGTATAAACTAACCATCTGTCATCACTTCTCTTGTAAACTCCAGATTGTTCAGGTATCAAAAAGACAAATATATAAATTCATATAACAATTACTTACAAGTAAAGTCGATGAAATTGATTCTTCCTGACTACACTAGCCCCTTCCCTACCGGCTCAGAATCAATCTTTCCTCCATCGAAACTTTATATTTCTGGAGAGCAAGAATTTTATATTTGAAATTACTCATTGATAATTGAAATGTTGAACTCGCTTAGGTATAGGTAATTATTGAGCGAATCAAGGGCATTTTATACATGGAAATTGGAAAGGGGATTACTCCATGATCGCTTGCTGGTAAATCGGGATTATGGAAATATAGTCTAATTGACGTTCCTTCTTTGACTCACGTTTCCTTAGTTGTAAAGAGATGTAATTGATATCCATCCCGAGAATTAAGGGATTAAGTTATTATTCAAAAAACGAAATTATTTAAATGTGGTATCAATCATTAATTAATTAGAAATCGTAAATGATACATGAGCGGGAAAATCATATGGTGCAGGTCTAGAAAAATGCCATGTGGCAAAATGGCATGTAAAAAATGGCCATGTGGCAGGTTTAGGAGTGTTTTATTAGAAGAGGGGATTTTCAATAAATGGATACATACATATATACATATATAACAAAGAGACAAACATATGTACATGAATTCCAAGTATTTTATCCGCATTACCGAGTTTAACTAACAAAGCCCTGAGTTTCTTTTCTACTTGAGAATTAATAGGGGTGTCACATATCCATTCTGCTTTATCTACTTTTTCTCATTTGGGTCAATGAAAACAAGTTACCCAGTAAGAGAATGAGATAACAGAAATTGAATTTATTAATTATAATTTCTTTTTTTAAGAGCTAAAAACGAACCAATCAAGAAAAGATTCAGTAAAGGTTCTAATGATTCTATAGTAGTTAACACTCACATTCAATGCTGCAGAAAGCCATGAAAAGTCAGTTTTTAATTATTGGTATCATAATAAGGTAAAGTAGTAACAGATTTGATACACACATTCAAGCAAATTAAGCACCCCAATCACAATATAATTGCATCTGTAAAAGTATCAAAGTATCAAGCTGGAGATAGCTTTATTAGTTTCTCCAAAAAGGATAAAATACAGGCACGGAAAATAGGCTAAAGTCTTATATGGCAATATGTATATTATTTTTCTATTTTTTTAATTTAATAGTTCATTTTTAATAGAATTTAGATCGTTCCTTTTGTTCCTCTAAGATGCATATGATGATAACAATGTACTTATCTGATATTGAAATGTCATGACCTTTCTTTCTGGAGGTATGTTTTCAAATTATTCAACCAATTTATGTACTTATCTTTAATGTGTTTAAAATTTAGTGTTATAAAAACAATTTAAATAATTTTAATTTGCTTATTGCGTGCTTGATGAATTGAAGTTGATTTTTCTAGGATTCTCACGATTTTTTTTTTTTGTGTGTTTTAATTCTAATAATTTTTTAATGTAATCTATTAGTCTATTTCTATTGTAGTTTTGATTAAATAAGTTTTAGATGTAAAAGTATTCTGAATATCTAGCATTGATTCATCCTTTAAGTTATTTTGTATTTTGGTGTGCAAGAAACTATTAGAAAATGACTTTAGTTATCATTTGTTTTGCTTTAATTTAAATGAACATATGAGTTTTATTTTTGTATTTAAATGAAGTTAGGGCTTTGTTATTTGTGTTTGACATAACTTTATTGCTTTTGAAAATTCCATATTGGCCTAACAATATATTATTATTTTAACATAATAATAAGAAAAACATTAGTTTAATAAAAAAAATTATAACGCAATGAATGTATTATATATTTGTTGAAAATTAGTTCTCTTAATAATAGTAGGAACGATAGTTGTTACTATTTTTTGAAAAAAAAAAAATCAATTTCACAAGATGGCCTTAAAGTAGCAATGTGTTTTAAACTGCATTGTTATATATGACAAGAATGGCTCATGGTATTATTTTTTATTTGATGAAATAAATTTTATTAATTTATCTTCATGATTGATTGTCTATGCTTTTTTTTTCAATTATTACAATTTGATATTTCATTTAACAAAATAATCATTTACCATTAAATTAGGCATAATGAACATTGGCTGTATATTCAAAACATTTTGGATAATTAATTCAAAAAAACATTTATAAAGTTACAAATATAATATCTAAGTTTCTAAAACAACAATTGTTTATAAATCTATTGTTAATTGTTATTACACCTATTAACAATTAAATAAATATTTATTATGCCTATTATTGTTTCACCCAAGTATTAACCTAGTATCAATATATGTGTAAGGGTCGGCCCATTGTTGATTTTGGCAGTCCAAAGGCGTAGAACAAAAAACAAGCTGATGGAGAAATATATGGAACAGAAAAACGTTGTAATCCGATAATCACGAATTCATGATTAAAATCCCTTCTTTCTTCACAGAATCACGCCTATCAAAGTATCAATCGATCGATCGGATTCTGTCAAGATTTTCGCTCTCCTCTTTATCCCAGTTCTCACTTCTCACCAAGGCCGAATTTGCTGTTTTCAGTTTCTTAATTCTCCTACTCGAGGTAACTTCTGTTTTTGCTTTAATTGAATGATAGATAAGTTTCATGTTTGGGAAACTCTGTCTTTTGATTAAAGAACATAAATCATGTTTTATTTTTCATGCGTAATTCTGATTTATGCTTTTAGTTCTTAAGGCTGAAACTTGAATTTCTAGTGGATCGGTGAAAAACAAAGCCATGACCTTTTTTTTTTGGTACAAAGTACAAACAACTATTGTTTCCAAATCTCATCTTATTACCTTATACATTAAAACAAATAAATCATGTCATAATAGCTTGCAAGAAATGAATGCTGCTCAATCAGAACCATCAATAACAAAATAAAATAAAACAATTTATTGTTTAGTGTGTTCACTATAGTTATAACATGACACTCATTATACTCTTTCCAATTTTGAAAATATCATCCTACTTATATCAAGTATGACATCTACTAATTTGGATTTTTTGCTTTTCTATTACAGCATTCTACATTCTTTTACTACAATATGACACCTAAAATAGCAATGTAATTTTTTTTTTATGGATTTAGTTTAAATGGAGAAATATCAATGTAGTTTATATTCGAGATGTTTTATTTGACACCATTCAGTCATAAACACCTAGAATAACAACATAGTTTTTGCTCATAAATATGTTTTATTTGAAGTAGTTTGTTTTCTTTTCATGTTTTTTTGGACTTAACTCTAGTAAAGAAATACCAACATACTTTATACTCAACACCTTTTTGACACAATGTGGACAGAAACATATTTGTGTGTGTGTGTATATATATATATATATATATATATATATATATATATATATATATATATATATATATATATATATAACCATGCTCATTACTTTTTTCATTTTTTATTAGTTTTGACTTAATAATTTTTTATTAGTTTTTGATTGCAACTGATTTTTATCTTGTTGGAAAAATGCAGATGTCGGAATATCTATGCGAAGATTTGATTGTTGAAATATTTACAAGAATAGCACCGAAATCCCTCCTCCGATTTAGATCACTCTCTAAATCGTTATATACTTGTATTTCTACCCTTGGTTTTATACGCATGCACACTCTTATATCCCCAAAAAAAATCCACTTCATTCATCTAATTAGCGATGACAAAAATGAAAAACAACAAGAATTCTTTTACACATCACATGGAGAGGAGGAGGAATTGGCATTGTATTTGTGTCCCAAACGTGGATACATTGATATAACAACAGAAGTCCCGTTCCCTTCTGGCGCACCTATTGGTTCATGTAATGGAACTTTCTGTTTGTGGACTAAAAAAGGTTTGATTCTATGGAACCCTTCAATCAGGCGCAAACTAATCGTGCCTGAATTTCCTCAGAGATCTGAACCCTTTACGTTGCGAGGGATTGGGTTTGGATTCGATCCAATCAGTGATGACTACAAAGTTGTCCAGACATCACATGTCAAAGGCAACAATTCATTTGTTTATGCTGTCAAGAGTGGCACATGGTGTGAGATTGCTTCCCCTAAACATCAAAATCAGATTCAGAGTATCCGTTACGATTCCTTTTTTTTCAATGGAGTGTTGCATTGGGTGACATATATTAATCAAAGAGAAAAGAAAACCGCATGCATTAGTTGTATACTAACATTCAATTTGAGCACTCATGTTTTTGATATGATTCCAGTGCCTATGTCCGTTCGGATTTGGGTGACATCGGGACTAACAACCATGCAAGGTTCTTTAGCTTTGATTTCTTGTAATGATGAAATTAGTGAAAGTTGGATTCGGGTATGGAGAGATGCTTCGTGGTCTGTGGTTTTTAAATTGAAAACAGATCAACTTTTTATTTTAGGTGTTTTGGAATTGCATCCGCAAGCTTTGTTGCTCAATACTTTCTCTCATGGGCTCCATGTTTATAATCTCAAGACGGGGGTGTCATCAAGAGTAGGCGACTTCAATGCTGCTTCAAGTTTACGTAACTTTTATCAGTGTGTTGAAACCCTTCATTTGTTAGACATGGGGGAGACTATTGCTGAAACGGAACTACATAACTACTATGAAAGAAAAAAAATAACAACATTACATTTTGAATTTTGACGCATTTTAATTACCATTTTGGTATTTGTCATTGGTACAAAAGTTTTTTTTTTTTAGTGAATAAATTAACATATATGTAATTTCCTGCCTGTTTGCCAATAAAAGAGATATTATTGAGGGTAAAATTGTTGATGATTGATGATCACATCAAGTAGAATATACCGGTAAAATCATATATGAGTGCATTTAGAACTTCATATATCATCTGCGTTTAGAACTTCATATATGATCTGCATTTTGTCGAGCACCTACTAGGTGTCTGTGCTATGAGCGCATCTAAACCACTCAGCATATTATCATATTTCAGAACCTGGAAACAAGCAAACTGGTCACACAACTATAAATAGACTAAATTAAACCCTCAAGTTCTTAAAGCATCAAGTTTTACATGAGCTTGGCTCGTGGTGGATTTAAAATGCTCGAGCTCGGCTTGGGCTCGACTTGTTTGTCAGACCTGCCTAAATGCGCCTAACCTCGGCTTAGCTAATAGTCAAATATCAAGCTCATTTGTGTTTTTAAGCTTGATAAAAAGTTTGGTTATCATTATTTGATATTTAATATTTAATTATTAGTAGACTACAGTGGATCATGCATAGCAATGTTATATCTGATCCATAGTAATGTTATATCCTATAGATCTATGGATGTAGGCTTCAAAAAAATTGGTTTTATCCTACAAAAGGGCTTAACGGCGCAACTTGTTGCCCGTTCGCATTTTCATTCGTTGTATGATGATAAATAATAAAAGTATTATTAGTTATAAATTAATATATAAAATTAAAATTAAAACATATATTATATAAATTTGCATTGGCTTGTTTAGGTGTGACAACCCCAAATCTATTGCCGCTACAAATCTCATCTTCACTAACGGAATGCGTCGATATATGTTATTTTTCCGTAATGTTGGAGTCGTCAATAAACAAATCTCTAGTTATGTATATGTCCCGATATTATCATAAGTAATTATAACTTGTAAGTGTTAACCCCGTTTAACTAAATACAGTTATATTACTTTTCAACCACTTCACCCGGGTATAAAGTTTTGACCCCATTAAACTTTAGCATTGGGTAGCCGTGTACCGGGTGCAATACCCGAGACATATATAAGCAAATGAACACCACTTTTAAGCCTTTTACCACTCATTCACTCTCTCTCTCTCACTACTTTCTCTCTCTAGATCCGAACCCGACTCCAAAACCGCGAATTCCGGCTTCCAAACGTAAGGGTTTCTTCCCTACCTTGTTCTAATCATAGTCTATAACATTTAGAGGCCAAAAATCAAAGAATTTAGTGGATCAAAGGGATTTTACAGCCTAGGAAGCCCCTTAGGCCGTAAACACCTAAAACCTTGCCAAAACCCCCATTTTTCCTTCCTTTAAGCTTGTGTACTAATTAAGGGATTTACCTAGGTGAGTTTGGACATGAAAACACAAGAATTTGAAGCCTAAAAAGGAGTTTACGGCCCAATCTCATGCTTAGGCCGTAAACACCCAAAAACCCTTGAAAAATGTCCCAAAAACTCATCTAGGGCATGGAGTAAATTAACTATGAACCTTGGAAATGTTTAAGGCCACTAAACATCACAATTTAGGGACAAAAAGAGGAGTTTACGGCCAAGAATAGTCTTGGGCCGTAAACACCCAAAAATGTTGCCAAAAAGTCCCTAAAACCCCACCTAAGGCCTTCATAAATTTATCTAAGGTGTAGGAGAGTGTTTTGGACCATTTAACATGCCATTTTGAAGAACAAAATGGAGTTTACGGCCCAAGCACAAGCTTGGACCGTAAACTCCCCAAAATGCCCCAAAATGAGGGTTTAAACCCTCCAAATTAGTCCAAGAAACTTGCTAGGAATTTAGGGAAGTGAAATAAGGCCTTAATTTGCAATTTTGGAGGACCACATGAGTTTACGGCCAAGCCTAGGGAGCTTACGGCCGTAAACTCCCAAGGAGTGGCCTTTGGGCCGTAAACTCTAAGGGAGTGAACTCGTGGGCTTTCCCGTAAACTCCTCTTGGCCTTGTACCACTCCCGGGAACCCCTTATAGGCCCTAAAACCCCGAATTGATGCTAGAATGCCTAAATACTCTAATGAAAAGTATAAAAATGATTAATTCCTTGTAAAAATACATATTTCATATGACATTAGGGTCCTAAAAGGTGCACAAGTCGTTATTTGGTACAAAACGCTCAACCGACTCTTTTACCCAATTACGCGATTTCAGGTGAGTTCATACCCCTTAAATGAACCTTTCAAATGTTTTATATGTTTTAGGGGGGGATACAAGTTGATTATACATGTTTATGGAAAGTTACACAAGACAATTATTCATGTTAGGAGAAGTAATCACATGTGATTCACTACCCGTAGTTCAAATCACATGTGATTTATCACTGTGCCTTATAAATAGATTATTCGTTTTCAAAACTATTTTGGATAAACAAACAAGTTTTTAAATGTTTCTTTTGGACAATACTTTTATTAAACAAATCTTCTTATAAAATGTAACCACACTGATATATTTATATAAGTAAGACTTGAAGGACTTAGGACCGATAGCTCGCCTTATTTCCTGTTCTTGTTTGATTGTGGGCTTAGGGTAGTGGTTATCCGTCTGACTGTCGTTGATTTCTTAGTTATATATCTTGTATATTAGTATGGATTACAAGTATTTTTGATTTCATTAGATGCCAAAATCACTTACCCGACAAGAATCATACACACTAAGTTAACTATAATAGGTATAGTTAAGGCCTCTATTACTCGCTTTAGCTACTACTTTACACACTATAATACTCCCTATTATGAAACTATACACTAATAACAGAATACAATACGAGTTATACAAAAGACTACTACACTATAATACAAGAGAAAGCACTAATCATGAGATAACACATTAACCCACTACAAGATACTCTATTTGCTATGCACTACGCCCAGAGTTTTCCGATAGGAAGACGGCGCTATATGTATAGATCTATACGGGGCAGACGCCATTACATCCCGACTGTTAACTTCAGTCCGAGCCACACAGGTCCAGGGATGCCACTACTCTACTACACTATGCATGACCGGGAAGGTCATGGGGTCCGCTATTACTCACACTATTGGTAACATACAAGAAATGCACTATAACCGCACTAAAATACTAAACCAAAGGTAAAGTTAAAATCCCGAAGTAAACAAGTATCTAATACTAAAGGAAGTTGCACCACTAATATTGACTTCAAGTATAACTTACCATATTGCATTACTTATTAGTGAGTCACTATTATACTTTTGCGATAAATGGTTTTCAAGGATGAAAATGAAATATTTCTTAAAGGTTTTCACTTACAATGCATTTATGGAAAATATAGGATTTTCTAGGTTTTACTACTACTTATGATTGTAAACTTCAGCTTTTCATACTATTGATTCTAATACTTTTTATACGAAAACTCACACTAAACTCTTATGAACTCACCAGCTTTATGCTGATATTCGTTTTCAAAATAACTTGTATCCTCAGGTCAAAGATAGATAGGTACAGGTGCAGCATTTTGGAGAAGGTGGAGCATAAAAGATCCATCTCTTATTTTTGTATTACTTTTGGTGTTTGTTGAACATTACAGAACACACTTGTAATTAAACTCACTATGTAAATGAAATGGTTGTATGTTTCTTGTTTTTACTATTATGCAATTGTGATGGAACTGTACACTACGTCCTCCACCCCGAAACGTGTTCCGCCGTTATCGGTTTTGGGGTGTGACAGATTGGTATCAGAGCATTGTTTATAGTGAATCAAGTATTTCAACCTATAAAAGATATACGAACTATAAACACTTCGGGACTAAAACACTCTGACCAAGAATATATACTGTTAAGTATCTAAAGGATTTAACTAAGTATATATATACATATACACATATCACTATAAAACACAGAAGTCAGTATCACGCTAGAACAAAACAAAAGTATTAGGATTGTTGGACAGCACGATTAGGCTTAGAGACATATAGTCACATTTGGGGGATGTAGCCTGATCAACTACGTTTTCCTGGAAGTAACTAGCGTGTGCCTAAGCTTGGTTGTGGTGTTGCAACAAGTCTAAAAACTTACCAACACTACCACAATAACGTTAGCATAAGAATACTATAGGAGTATTATGTACCTCTAAAACATACATGTGTGAGAACTAAAAAGGGTCGTTACTGCTGGAGCAATAGTTGCTAAATGGGTACTTTCCGGTTACATGTGATTAGGGCGTTATAGACTTAGAATCTGTGGTCTTTGCTTTACTTCATATTCCTTGTTTGGTTGTGGATTTAGAGTTAGGGTCACTTATTCGACAGACTATCCTGCCCCGGTCACATGTAATTAGTATGCATTATGCAAGTATTGGACTGACTCGTGACGATCATCTTATAAGGAATTTAGGTTAGTGCGCCTATTAATCTTCTTTTCCCCTTTTCTCGCATAGATATCAAGGTTGGCTTCCACCTCCCAGGCAACCCGTACTACCCAAATCAGAACAATGGAGGATGGCTCAGCAAAGAGTCGGACGACGATCACCCAATCCCTCTGGATGACCACCGAGCAGAAGGCTTTTCGGATAACTCCGACTCCGAGCCAGAAGTTAATAACCTACCTCCCGGAGCTCCGAACCCCAACCCCCGCCCGACATTTCGGGGTCCCACCCCTATGTGGGCCATATCCTTGCATCAATGGAGCGAGGAGCAGGGCCAGCCCTTGCCTTACAATGGAGATCGAAGCTTCTACAACATAAACGTAGGAGGATCAGCAGACCGAGTTCTACCCATCTTGGTCCGAAGGATCGCCAGAAATGTTGAGCAGGGTCAAGTTGCTATCGGTCGAGTTGTAGAAGTGGATGCCAATTCAAATCTCAACACTGTTTGCATCCGCCAACTCGAAGAGGCCATGGACAGGACAAGGAGGACCAACGAGGCTCTGCAGCATCAGCTGGCTGCATCTCGAGCCGAAGTTAGGGAAC